GCTTTAAGACGCCTCCTCTTGGGGTGTCAGTAAGTGGAGAATCTTTGTTGGCAACCCATACCACAGTCCCATTAGATATTTTCTTGTACCATATCCCTAACAGTGGCGTAGTCACAGAGGGACAAGTGGGGGCAACTGCCCCCACTAAACTTTTAATTTTTTATTTTTTTTATATGGAAAGATTTTATGGTTTGACAGTGCACACACATATATATATACACTATATATATAAAATCAAAAGCTCGTTCACAGTTTTACACTTCCCTACAAAATATAATATTTTTTTTACTTTCCCAAAATATTATATTCTACTTTCTCAAATAATATGATATTTTTTTGACTTTTTCAAAATATAATATTCTTTCCCACTTTTTCCAAAAAATACAAGATATTATCACGTTTTTAACTTTACCATAAGCAAATGCGTTGTTTCCATTGTATTTTCAATTTTTCACACTTCAATATTTTTTTTTCTGCGAGTCTTCAACATTTCACAAATTCACAATCCAAAAAAAGCAAGCGGAGCAAGCACACTATTTTACCAGTAGACAGAGACTCGGTAAGTCGTACTATTTTTTTTTTTTTTTTTTTTTTATCATCTAAATTTACAATTGTTATTTGGTATTATTATTTTAATTAGAAAAATTATTAGTTATTTCTATCAAAATTATTTTAGGGCTTGTTCTTTCAAAATTTAGTTTGTGTAATTGTATTTTTTTTAATTTGCAAGCTTGCAGCCCAAATCAATGAAATCATATATTCACTTACTCTATCAAATTTTTCGAGTGATTGGATTATATGGTTTTAACTTATAAGGTTAGTTATCTTCATATCTTTGTTTTTTTATTTTATTTTTAATATGAATTAATTTTTATTATGAGTAGATTGATAGGCATGGTAGTTATTACTTATTAAGAATGTTTGTTAACATGAAATTTTTTGGAATGAAATTGGTCATCAATTATCTTGTAATTTTATTTTTAGTTATTTTTACATATGTGATATATAATATATTAGAAAAGTAAGATTTAAGTAACTATGTTATTTTCTTTTTCATATTTTATTCTTCATTCATTGAATATGATTGTTTTTTTAGTATATTTATTTTATATATTATTTTGGTTCAAATATATATATATATATATATTATTGCTATTAAAAATTGCCTCCCCCCACTGAAGGAATTTCCTGGCTACGCCACTCTTGACCATCACCTAACCTTCACTTAAGGGTGACAATTTAAGTTCAAATTCATTAAACCACCCAAGCCCATCCATTAAAATTAAATTATCTGGGCAATCAAATTTAAATGAGTGAATAACAATGGGTAAAAAGTGGGTATCTATACAATTTAATAGTCAATGATGGGTTAAGAGTGAGTACCCATCTTAGCCCATTCAAACAAAACCTTCTTTTCTTTCTCCTCCATTTCTCTCTCTTCCAGCTCCTCGGTTATCTGTTTCTCTCCTTCTCTTTTATCTTTTTCATTTTTTTCACCCTTTTTTTTTTTTTTTTTTTTCTCTCTCTCTCCTCAGTTTCTCTCTTCCCTCTCCTCCAATTTTTTTTTTTTGGCCAAAGTGCAAACAACCCCCAGAACTATCACGAATCGGCATTTTACCACCTTAAACTACAAAAATAAACAAATCAGTACCACTATTATCCAAATTCGTGCAAGTTAACCCCTGAAACTCAATTCCGGCCACTTTCCGGCCGACTTTATTGAAGATTTACAAAACTACCCATTATAATTAAGAAAAAAAATATACTAAAATAAATAATTAGAATGAAATACCCTCAATGCCCCTCATGTGAACCAAACGTTGCCCAAGTGTTGTAACCCTCTCTATTCATCGGCAAATCTGATCGGCTTCGGATGCTATGATGAATTTGCGGCGCAGCATCGGCGGGCAAGAATTGGCTAGTTGGTTTTACCAGTTTTGACCCAAGCGCTAATCTAAACTATTCCTCCTCCGCGCCAGGAAATTCCTTCAGTGGGGGCAATTTTTAATAGCAATAATATATATATATATATATATATATATATATATATATATATAAAATTTTTGAACCAAAATAATATATGAAATAAATATACTAAAAAAACAATCATATTCAATGAATGAAGAATAAAATATGAAAAAGAAAATAACATAGTTACTTAAATCTTACTTTTCTAATATATTATATATTAGATATGTAAAAATAACTAAAAATAAAATTACAAGATAATTGATGACCAATTTCATTCCAAAAAATTTCATGTTAACAAACATTCTTAATAAGTAATAACTACCATGTCTATCAATCTACTCATAATAAAAATTCATTCATATTAAAAATAAAATAAAAAACAAAGATATGAAGATAACTAACCTTATAAGTTAAAACCATATAATCCAATCAATCAAAAAATTTGATAGAGCAAGTGAATATGTGATTTCATTGATTTGGGCTGCAAGCTTGCAAATTAAAAAAAATACAATTACACAAACTAAATTTCGAAAGAACAAGCCCTAAAATAATTTTGATAGAAATAACTAATAATTTTTCTAATTAAAATAATAATACCAAATAACAATTGTAAATTTAGATGATATAAAAAATAATAATAATAAAATTAGTACGACTTACCGAGTCTATAATAAAATTAGTACGACTTACCGAGTCTCTGTGAATTTGTGAAATATTGAAGACTCGCAGAAAGAAAAATATTGAAGAGTGAAAAATTGAAAATGCAATGGAAACAACGCATTTGCTTATGGTAAAGTTAAAAATGTGATAATATCTTATATTTTTTGGAAAAAGTGAGAAAGAATATTATATTTTGAAAAAGTCAAAAAAATATCATATTATTTGGGAAAGTAGAATATAATATTTTAGGAAAGTAGAAAAAATATTATATTTTATGGGAAAGTGTAAAATTGTGAATGAGCTTTTGATTTTATATATATAGTGTATATATATATATATATGTGTACTGTCAAACCATAAAATCTTTTCATATAAAAAAATAAAATTAAAAATTAAAAGTTCAGTGGGGGCAGTTGCCCCCACTTGTCCCTCTGTGGCTATGCCACTGATGATCAACAGAGGTTTTCAAGATAGTAACTACATACCTTTCGTGACAGACATCTTCTATACTCGTCTTGAAAAATTTATGTAAGCCAAGGGAAAAAATTATGATTAAGCCCCACACACACACAAAAAAAAAAAAAAAAAAAAAATTAAATAAATAAATCTTTGGTTGGATGACTTTATCAATAGTTAATAACATTCAGATTATAACGACCTGTCCTTTTTGTAGAGCTGAAGTGGCTCAATTAGAGTGAATAGGTAGAGACCAAGATAAAGTGGCAACGGAAATTAATTGGAAAATCTTGACATTTGATGCCGACAAGACATGAGAGGCAAAAAATAGAAACTTGGAATCTAACTAAAAAATGGGGTTGGATTCGCCTCCTTAAGAATTTGTTGTTTTCTCTGCTAAAGGGAAGTAATTTGAATCTTCTAGATATCTTACCTACTCTCTTCAGCTTCCTCCTCCTCAAGAAATTAATACAAGAGAAAGAACAGGCGAGTACCACTGCTGCAAGTAATATAGGAATGATTATAATCTTCAATCGTCTCTTTACAAGGGAGCTGCTATGTGTTTCTGCAGAGTCAAAATTTACACAATGTAAAGCAACTATATTTGAAGGCAGGAAAACTAAGAAATAAAGCAGCAGTAAAAGAAGACACTTTTCAGTAAGAGCTTCTATATGCCTCCTCTCTGTTGAAAAGATAGCAACTTTCTTTTATATTTCCAAACAGAATGTAAAAGTTACTCATCTACATGCTTGGGAGTATATATCATACCTAACTCAGAGGAGGCCATTCTCATGTAACTATCTTGTCCAATTTCTCCGAGGTCCCTAATATCAATCAAGTCATCAAGCAGCCACTTCCTCCTGCTGTTACGTCTATATTTGCATAAGCCATACAAGAACAGTTTTTTGCGCATACCGTCTCGCATTCCTTCAGGGTCATGCTACTATTAAACCAGGAATTCCGCGTGTCAGGCAATTTAACACCGGAATACTTGAGAAATGCAATTGATGATCCATTGTGGCAATCCAAGGGCTTTCTTCTAGCACACCCACCTGACCAATCTGCTGTGTTCCAATCTTTTGGGTATCTTGGCATGAATTTATCAAGACACCTACACACCTGAATTTATCGAGACACCTGCACACCCGGGAGTTACTAATGCTGCAGCTACCATAGGCCTGACATAGCCCATAAGAATCACAGTTATCTGCCGGTGTATTCGTGTAAACTGTCCAATCCTATGCTTTATAATTCCATTTCAAACGCTGTAGAATTCCATTCTGATTCAAAACCGACCGTGAGAAAACTGAGCTATTAATAAGCTCATATTCATAATATACCTCCTTTTGATCAAAAACAAATTGGTATGTGTAAATGCTGTTTGGTTTTAAACCCACCGAGCCACTAAAGCGGAGACCATTCCATGGTCCAGAACGGTATTGCTCAACTGGACATTTCATGAGGACGAATTGTGGGAATCCACGAAGATCAAGTCCAAAAGAACAGTCACCTTTCGAAGGGTCATCACTGGACTTCCATGACCATAGACGCCGATCAATTCCGGTTTCTAGGTTCTTTCCAAGCTTCATGCCCGGCAACAAAGTGTCACACGGTTAATCAAAACTCTGCCATAGGAAATTCACACCATTTGCATCTTTGATAATAAGATTACACGAATCCAAAAGCTGTGCAACTGGGTTCACCGTGTTGTTACTGGATGATGATGAATTTTGACGAAGACCAGAAGATGCTGTTTGCAGTATTGACAAGCATGAGAACTCCTCCATGAGTGAGCTTTAAGACACCTCCTCCGGATGTATCAGTAATTGGAGTATCTCTGTTGGCAACCCATACCACAGTCCCAACGGATCTTTTGTACCATATTCCCAAATATCGATTCCTGGAAGTACTACCGGAGGGGCTGAAAAATCCCAGTTCAAATGTTGTGTCTGAAGAGACCATGGTTTGCCCATCAGTAAGAGATTGAGTTGCAGTTATGGTGTCTAATTCAACTGCATCGCAGATTATTGTTAACATGAAAAAAATAGAATACAAGAAAAGAATTATGGTATTACTCATGCTTCACAATATTAATTCAGAAAACCATAGGATAGTTTTTTGGTTGGCCGACGGCGTACAGTCTCTTCCCCATGGGAATCTGCAAAGTATAAATGCGCAATTAATTTATTCAGGTTCATGGTCAAAGCCAGCCAGCCAGCCAGCCAGCCAGGCCGCCTTCTTTTCTCAGTGCTAATTAAAGCTAGTTGTGACTCATCATAATTGACTTTTTAATTGGTTGTCCCACACCACATCAAATGACTCTTGCCGCCTCCCATTTGAATGGTAGAGTAGATACGACTGTAGATTATATAACTCCTCGTGATTGAATCTATTCATGAAAATTTCACTAGTTATATATATATATCGAAATTTGTGCAACTCGAACCTCAACAAATGGCCTGCGTGTCTATATATATATATATGTGTGTGTGTATGCATTGTACTATGTACTAATATATTTTTTTTCTTTTTAAGTCAACTGTTGTCTAGAGTTATGCATTTATACTTTATACTGTATTTAATTTTTAATACTTTTATAATACAATAAACTTTTTCTCCTTCTTGTTGTGAATATTTGTAACAGGGGTTTTGTTACTTTTGTATCCATTCTGTAAAAGCAAATCTGGAATTGGGTGTCCTACTTTACTCTTTTTTGTTTTAAGTTTATGCCTATTTTAGGTTGAAATTTCTGTAAAAAAATTCTTTTATTGTTCATGGGGTGTTACGTCTAATGGAAGTTGAATGAGTTGATTTGAAGATTAAATTGTCATAATGTGTTTTGGGAGAATTCCAATTATTCTTCTACTTACACCTTCTTTTTTTTTTTTTTTTTTTTTTTTTTCTTCCCCTCTTAACAGTTTGTGTTAATGAATGACCTTAAATAATTAGATTGCCCTTAGATTTTTTATTTATTTTTAGTGTTAGGATACATATACATAGATGTGGTTAAATATATATATATATATATACACACACATTGGCATATATGCATTTACAGCAAGATTGTCACCCGTCACAAGGTTTGTTACCGGGTTGGGCCCGCCCACCGCCGGTTGCCGGTTGGTGGCCGTTAATGTTGATACTAGTGAGCTATTTAGGGTTTACAGAGCACCGATTATCCTATCTCACAAATTTGAGACCAACAGACCCCAAATTTCAGTTAGAATCTAATTGGGTCTGTCTGAGACTCAAATCATATTTGTAACGAGCCAAAAATAATACTAGTCGACGATACCGAAAAAAAAAAAAAAAAAAAAAATTCAGCATGACCATTGCATAAAAAGTCCTTTTACGACCTGCTGAAATAGATATAAAATGTAATGATCTCACTTGTCTTTAAAACTAATCTATCATGTCTCAACGTACAATGCAAATAATATACAACATTCTCAAAATTAACACATACATATAAAAAGAATCACGTTCCTTCATTTCATTCAAACATGGAAACACCAGTTCACTACTAGTCCCATAATCTTTTACAAGAACTGCACTTTAATTACATCAAGTTACAGTCCATGAAATATAGATAAAATTAAAAGTCAATAACTTACAACATTATACAAATTAAACTAAAGTTTTACAAAATAGTCAAGATTATATTTACAAAATATTAAAGTTCAATTACAAAAGATAGCAAAATATAAATCTCCAATAGCGTTTAAACTTATGGTGGATCATCGTCCGCCACCTGTTTCCCGTGTCCTGAAAATATTAAAGTAATGGAGTGAGCCAACCGCTCAGTAGGAAGTGTTTAAGACACACCTCTTACGACCCCGTGAAACCACATAAGAAATAAAATACTAGTGAATGAGATCATGCCTCGGAAAGCAAGTAAAATAGTAATAATATCAACAAATACATACACAAGTCATCCGACTACCAAGTGTGCAATATATGCTAATGATATGTCATGCCATGAAATGTCGCTCCCCGTTTCCGAAACAATAACATTTCACCTTTTCAAACCGTTAGTGCAGTCCGACTATAACGACCCTAAACTAATACCATGTAAAAAAAATAATAATAATAAATTCGGCATGACCTCCCCTAAAAAGGGGCCTACAACCACCTGCTAAAAAAACGCAATGGCCCTTCCTAGCTTTTCAAGACAGATCCAACTTGTCCCAACACATAATACAATTAATATATTCCAGCATCCCATTCATCAGTTCATTATACCTCAACATGAATTATCTCATGGTGGAACATCCACATACCATTTAATCCAAATTATCATAATTACAGTCCCAAAATATATAGTTAAGATCTAAAGTACATGTCTTACAACGTTTAGACAACTTATAATAAAATTACAGCCCATGAATATAACTATAATAGCAAGAGTCCATAAATCTCTATACTAAATATAACAAACTAAGGTTTTACAAAAATATGGGGCTTAGATACAAAAATAGCAAAATGATCTTCTAATCCAAATTAAGCCTGTGGTGGTACGTCATCTGCCACTTCTTTCCCGTTTCCTGAAAAATGTTAAATATAAGGGGTGAGCATAAGCTCAGTAGGAAGTGCCTAAGGCATACCTCTTGAGAGCCCGTAAATCCACCCAATGAATAGGAATAAGGAAATTGGGATCATACCATGCCGGAAAAAAAATATATATAAATAACCACAATACCACATCATTAATCCGATGCCACAAATGAATATGACATGCCATGCAATGTCACTCCCCATTTTCCAAAACCATTTCCATCATCATTTTCAAACCATTAGTGAACCCATCCCATGGCAACTCCATGGCGGCACGAGAGGAGGATTGGCCATTGTCCCTGACCCATGGCAACTCCATGGCGTCATTTTGGAGCCAGGTAACTCAACCACACTAGGGCGATTTCCCTAGTTCCCTCTAGGCCTCACTAACGCCACGGTCCCTAAGCAACTCCTAGGCGGCTGGGTTTTTCACAAAAATCTTTTTCAAAATTCTTTCCCAAAATCCATTTCATTTCTTTCAAATCAATTTTTTCCATTCTATCCCAATGAATGCATATATGTCTTATGCATGTCAATAATGTACCAATAAAGAAATTATTTCTTACAAGTCAAATATTTACAATATACATGCCTCATAGGAATATTCTAGGAATTTACATCATGCTTCAAAATCATAAAATTCAGCATTTTAAAGCACAATAGGCATGAAATTTAACATCAATTTTACATGGTTCTTTATCACATAACAACTAACATGTATATATATACATCTCATATACAACACATAACAATTATGAAAAAATAATACAAATTAGAACACAAATTATGAAAAACAATTCACCAAAATCTAAGAGATTGTGGATTAAACACCCCTACCTCAAAGGAGGAGAAAACCCCCAATTTTCACCTCAAACCCTCAAAATGGGTCAAGATTTTCGGACTCCCTACGTTGCACAAAACTGAAATTGCTAGTACACACGCGTAGAGCTCGCCGTGCTCTCCGTTTTGCCGCAAACGACACTTAAAAATACTAAGTATTGAAGAAGGAATCAATGATTGAAGCCTTGAAATGGAAAAAGGAAAAAAAGAAAAACAGAAAGGAAGAGAGAAGCAGGCAGCGGGGAGAGAGAGTGAGATAGCAGAGAGCTAAAAAAAAAAAAAAAAAAAAACGTGGTCTTATGACCACTTAATAAAATTGTGGGCCCCACAACTTAAATAATAAAAAAATCTTCTTAACACACGCACATATATATATTTGAAACATTACATTCTCTCCAATTTAAAAAGATTTCGTCCCCGAAATCAAGTCATACCTGCGGAAGAAAATAACGCTGGGTACTTGGAGTGAACCTCCTGTTCGAGCTCCCAAGTAGCCTCCTCGACTCCGTGGTGTCCCCAAAGAACTTTCACCATTGGTCTCGTCTTGTTCCTCAACACCTTCTGCTGTGTGTCAAGGATCTGAACTGGTCCTTCCTCATAGGAAACATCTTCATCAATGTCCACATCAACCCAACTCAAAATGTGAGATGGATCCGGCTCGTACTTTCGTAACATTGATACATGAAAGACATTGTGGACTCTGTCCATCTGTGGTGGCAAAGCAAGTCTGTAGGCAACCTCTCCTACACGGTCCAAGATCTCAAAAGGTCCAATAAATCGTGGTGATAACTTACTACTCTTCCCGAATCTCATCAACCCCTTCCGTGGAGAAACTCGTAGAAAAACATGGTCTCCTACCTCAAAAGATAGAGGTCGTCTCCGCCTATCTGCATAGCTCTTCTGTTGACTCTGTGCTGTAAGTAACCTTTGTCTAATCAGCTTAATCTTCTCAGTAATCTCAAGTACAATGTCAGGTCCTAAGGCGGCTGTCTCGCCCACCTCAGTCCAACAAACAGGAGACCTACAAGGTCTACCATACAACGCCTCAAATGGAGCCATCTGGATACTCGTCTGATAACTGTTGTTGTAAGCAAACTCAATGAGTGAAAGGTGATCCTCCCAACTGCCTCCCAAATCAAGTACACATGCCCGAAGCATATCCTCCAAAATCTGGATGGTACGCTCCGACTGACCGTCTGTCTGTGGATGGAATGCCGTACTAAGGTGCAACGCTGAGCCAAATGCAGCTTGAAATCCTTCCCAGAACTTCGAAGTGAACTTGGCATCCCTATCTGAAACAATGGTTACTGGAACTCCATGCAACCTTATAATCTCCTTCACATAAAGTACACTAAGCTTATCTGCATCATCTGTTGCCTTAATAGGCAAAAAGTGAGCCGTCTTGGTCAATCTGTCAATGATCACCCATACGGCTTCATTGCCCCTCTGTGACCTTGGAAGACCTGTCACAAAATCCATAGGTAATATGTACCCATTTCCATTGCGCTACAGGCAATGGTTGCAACAAATCAGCTGGTCTTTGATGCTCGGCCTTCACCTGCTGACAGGTAAGGCACTTAGCCACAAACTGAGTAACATTTTTCTTCATCCCGTTTCACCAATACTGACGTCTCAAATTGTGATACATCTTGATACCACCTGGATGAACTGCAAAGCGGGAAGTGTGAAACTCCCATAAAACGTCCTCACGACAAACTGTGGAAACCACCAACAAACGCTTGAACCATAGACCCCCATCTGCATGCAAGGCCCAATCTTTTACTGTCTCACCACTAGAGATCAAAGCGTGAATGGCATCTAAATCGGGGTCCTGTCTTTGTGACTCAATCATTCGTACAACAAGAGTAAACAAGAATGCCGGCTCGCTGTCAACATCGTCATCAAAACAATACAATCCCATCTCTGCCAAATCCTTAAGCATCTTCCACTTTCGAATAGCCAAACAGGCCAGAGTCCCACGAGATTTATGGTTTAAGGCATCTGCTACCACATTTGCCTTGCACGGATGATACTGCAAGTCAAAATTGTAGTCCTCCAAGAACTCAACCCATCTTCTCTGTCTGTTGTTCAAATCCTTTTGGGAGAAAAGGTACTTGAGACTTTTATGATCCGAGTACACTTCGAATCTCTCACCATACAAGTAATGTCTCCAATACTTCAAAGCAAATACGACTGCTGCTAACTCCAAATCATGAGTAGGGTAGTTAAGCTCGTGAGTTTTCAACTGTCGAGACCCATAAACCACTACTCTACCATCCTGCATCAACACACATCCCAAACCATCACGTGAAGCGTCACAATAAATCACATAACCCAAGCCATGCTCAGGTATCACCAACACTGGAGCTGTAGTCAACCTTGTCTTCAACTCCTGAAAAGATAACTCACAGGCTTCATTCCACGTAAACTTGATCCTTTTCCGGGTCAAACGGGTCATAGGAGCTGCCAGACGGGAGAAATCCTTCACAAATCTCCGATAGTAACCCGCCATGCCAAAGAAACTCCGGATCTCAAAAACATTCTTGGGTTGCTCCCAAGTCAAAACTACTTCTATCTTTGATGGATCAACCGATACTCCACCTTCCGAAACAACATGCCCCAAAAACTTCACCTCTTGTAGCCAAAACTCACATTTCTCATATTTAGCATACAATCGGTGCTTCCGCAAAATCCGTAAAACAATACTCAAATGGACAGCGTTCCACAGCGGGGAGAGAGAGTGAGATAGTAGAGTGCCAAAAAAAAAAAAAAAAAAAAAAAAAACGTGGTCTTATGACCACTTAATAAAATTGTGGGCCCCACAGCTCAAATAAAAAAAAATCTTCTTAACACACACACATATATATATATTTGAAACATTACACCGACCCAAGGCGACTCAAAGGCTTCACGAGAGGAGGATTGGCTAACTATCCACTAGCACAAGACAACTCCAAGGCGTCGTGTCCAGCATAGGTAGCTCAACCACGCTAGGGTTTCTCCCTAATCCCCTCTAGACCACACTAACATCACGAACCACTAGGCTACTCTTAGGCTTTCGATTTTTCGCAAACACTTTTCGAAAACTTTTTCCCCCAAAATTATTTCTTTTGCTTTTCAAAAACACTTTTTCCTTTTTCCTTTTCCAATGGAATGCATGAATGTTGCATGCTACACAATTTCAATATTAACAATTAAATCTCATGTAAATCAATAATTCTCAACAATATACACATACCTTATACTTAAATAAACAATTTAAAATATTAAACAAATCAAGGCATAAATTGAATATAATTGAGCCAACTATTCACATAATTCACATTATCATATAAAATTCTAAACACCATAGGTCAAATAATCAAATTAAATATGCTTATAAGTAGATTTAAGGGAAAAAATTCACAATGGTTAAAGAAATTGTGGGTTAGAACCCCCTACCTCAACCAATTGAAGAAAGCCCTAAAATGCGAAATTTCTAAAGTGCTCCAAATTAAAAATCGCTCCGATCAAAATGAAGGTTCTGATGAGCTTATCAACCTTGCCTTAAGTGACAAAATCAAATTCTCAAAAGCGAAAGAGAAATCTAAAAAAAAAATTAAATAAATAAATAGTAGAGAAAGGGAGAAACTGACGATGGGAGAGAGAGAGACAGAAGGGTCTCTTAATGACCTTAGGCCATTTACAAAGTTAAAATGGAATGGTGGGTTCCATTGACCCTTTTTAAAATATCATAATATCATTATAACTTTTTTATATATACAATAACATTATACAGCCACACACAATTTGCAAAACAGAGGGCGAGAGTGAATTTCTTGGCTGTGTAAGGCCATTACAGTTGTTATGATATCCAACGGGTCCGACGAAATAAATTTTAAAAAAAGTTCTTTAACATTAATACTCATATACATATTAGCCAATACACAACCACATAATTTAGCATGTAACCACATAATTGTGCATTAAATAAACATGCATGAAATATAATGGACTCATGACACAAATATTGTGTTCAACAACTCCTATAGTGGGTCCTGCTTGAGATTTATCGACTCGAAAAATAGAAAAATGTCGAAATAGTAAACGATACATTTTCAAAAGTCCTGAACTCAAGGAAATGCTCTAATCAACTCTAGGAACTCAACTCTAGGAACTCTCCCGACATATCCAACTATGTACGGCACGTAAAAATGAGACTGATTAAAATTATCTAAAAAATCAAAAAATCCCAGAAAATGGAAAATTGAAAAAATTAGAAATATTACAATATTAGGATAATATTAAATCTTCCATCCGAGAGAAATTGGTTACCTTCGGTGACCTTATAGGAATAGAATTTTCAGCAGATTTGATTTGAGGGGCTAATTTGTTCCTACATTCTTTCCGAGTACAGTAATTACTCTGTCCTATACGGTACCATATGAATAGGGTACTAATTCATAGACAGATCAAAATCAAAACATGTTTGACCTCCTTTTCATTGTAAATACCGATCATGAGCTTTTGAAGAGCAAAAAAACATGCAAAGAATTGGAAAATGAGAAGTCGTTGGGGGTCATTTGCATCCTTCAAACTAAATGCAGCACTAGCAAAACATACCCTACGGGCAGGTTTCAAGATGAGCATCTGTAACACAAAAATCTAGCTGAAAATCTTTTTAACATTTTAATTAGTACTACTAGTGAAGCTGCTTATGCCAAAATACTTTAAAGAAATGTTTAGTGTATGTATGTAGGTATGCCTTCACTGGCAATGTCTTAGTCTCTAGGATGAGAAGTGACGTGATTTTCACATTCTTCTATACACAGTTACACACTCCATAAAGATTCAAGGACATTCATTAGTTCTCACATTAAAATTGAAACCTGCAGTCAATTTGTCAACGAATTCCTGACTAGGGTTAATCCCTCAGATTTTTAGAAAGGTAGGTTCATCTAGACACAAAGTTGAGTTTAATTCTGCACTAAAACAAATTAAAAAAAAAAATCCAACAGTTGAATACGTCAACCCCAACCAAATCTTTTTTTTTTTTTTTTTTCTTGATATACATCATTTCCATCGCACAACAGTATGCAATAGGTGCTACTTCTATCTGGCTTCTATCATCGTTATTGTCAATGCATCTCCAGTATGACTTCTCTCACCACTTGATGTCTCTGCAACAATAGAACTTCTTTCTACAAAGAAACCAGGCTGTTTGGGTTCAGGCAATGGCACCCCCTCATTACCCAACATGAACACTACTGATGACATGGTTGGTCTGTCTTTTGGCAGCTTCTGAATACATAGTAGTCCCACTTGAATACATCTTAGGATTTGAGATTCAATGTATGAATTTTCCAAACATGAATCCACTAATTCCAAGACTCTGTGTTCATTCCACAGCAACCACGCCTATAACAATCACAATCCTCAATTTTAGTAATTCATATATAGGAAGTTAGAGCGAAAAATAAAATAAAATAGAATACATTTCACCACCATACATGTCCCAAAAGCGAATGATAGTGATCAGGATGATGAAATTTTCTGTTCTTCTTGCCACTCACTATCTCCAGTAAAAGCACACCTAAACTAAATACATCAGATTTTACCGAAAATTTGCCATCAATGGCATACTCTGGCGACATGTAACCACTGCAAAAAATTATCATATTTAAGCATATGAAAATGATGAACATGTACTATCTGAAATTTGTTTCCAAAACTTACTATGTTCCGATTACTCGCTTTGTTTTGGCTTCAATTTGATCTATCCCAAAACTTCTTGCTATCCCAAAGTCTGAAATTTTCGGACTTAGTTCTTCATCTAGTAAAATGTTGCTGGCTTTGAGATCCCTATGAATGATTCTTAATCTTGAGTCCTGGTGAAGGTACAGGAGTCCCCTCGATATGCCCATAGCAATTTCAAATCGCTTTTGCCATGGAAGTTCTAGTCTTCTATTCTGATCTGCATGACATTTCCATCCATATAAGTTCTACATCCGTTATCATTTTGAAAATAGGGCAGAGGACTCTGCTGCATAAATACACAAATTACACTATGAAATTGGTCTAATAAGATAAATGGACGAGAACTAGACCAAAAATAAAATAGTCCAAGCTTTTATTTGGCATGTACTCGTATATTAGCATCCTCTCTTCTCCTTCAACATAACAGCCCAACAGCCTAACAAGATTCCGGTGTTGAAGTTTGGAAATCAACATAACTTCATTTTTGAACTCTTGTAGACCTTGTCCAGAATTATTCGAAAGCCTCTTGACTGCTATTTCTTGTCCCGTTGTTAGCTTACCCTACAAGTTTTTGAATAGCAATGTTAAAATCATGGGGTCACTTTTTTTTAGTAGATATCGAACCAAATATTACTTATTTAACCTTATAAACAGGACCAAAACCACCCTCTCCGATCATATTTGTGCAAGAGAAGTTCTTAGTGGCATTTGCAAGAGTGTGCAGATCAAAAACTGGTAACTCAATGTCTTCATTCTGACTTTGCATACCTGCAAAATCAAATATGTCATAGATGCAACAAGATAACTGTCATCATTCAAATAATCGTCTGGCATATACCCTAATGGATCACCCTGATTCTCTTTCCAGAATGGTATGGCATGACACACTTAAATACAGCGGCACCATGATAATCATTTGTTTAAGAAGAAAGAAAAAGAAACTGGTAAAGTAACATGGGAGAACCCGAAATTTTGAAATATTAAAGTTAAAAATATATTATTATCCTTTAAAAAAACAAAAACAAATAAATGGTCTATCACTTTATGAATGTGAAATAAAGAATCCTTTGTTTTATTAACAGAAAATAAAGTGAAATAATGTCACTTAAGTAATGACACCCTTAAATGTCTTTTTAGCAGCATTGATTTGCTTCTTTAATCATTTGCCTACTTCAGTAAATGTCACCTATAGCGGTATTGTTGTCACTCCCAGTGCAAAAACCATATTGGTTCCTATGGTAAATTTCTAGGAGGCTGGGTTAGCTACTTGTTTATTTGTTCTGAGACTCTCATGATGACCATTGATGTCACTAGGACCACAATCTTCTTCAGGTCTTACAAAATAATCTTCACCTAGAAATCTTGTCCTTTTCTAATTATAGTACATATTGTATCTTTCTATAATAATCTAGCAGATTTTAGGAGATTTAATCTCCTTTTCTAATTGGAGAGCTCTTCTACTCTGATAATTAAAATTGAAACACCTGTTGAACCAAAATAAGGCCACCAGTGGGGGGCATGTTGAAGGATCTAAATATTCAACTTACAGACTCTCTAACAGCTTAAACTTTTAGATTAGATGGTGGTCAGCAGATGTTTTCAGGACAAGCAACTACACACGTAACACACCCTTCATGGCAGAACTTCTTTATCTCACACTCATCCTGAAAAAGACATGTAAGCCTAAGGAAAAGGATTATGATTAAGGCACACAAACTGATAGGTCCATTTTAGAGATTATTTGCCGAAAAAAATTTAAAAAAAAAAAAAAAAAACAGTTTGGTGTGATAACTTTATCGATAGTTGATAGCATTCAAAAAGCTTGATTTTGGTACACTTCAGTGTACATGAGACATCAGTTATAACAACCTGCCCTTTAAAATGAGGAGGTACAGAATGAGACCAAGATAAAGTGGCAAAGGAAATAATTTGAAAATCCTGACATTTGATGCCAACAGGACATGAAAAAGAAATAAAATGGAAACTTGGAATCTCACTAAAAAATGGGATTGGATTCGCCTCTGTAAGATCTGTAGTTTTCTTTGCTAAATAGGAAAGGGAAGTAATTTGAGTCTTCTAGATATCTTACCACTCTTCAGCTTTCTCCTCCTCAAGAAATATAAGAGAAAGAACAGGCCTAGTAATACCACTGCTGCAAGTAATAGAGGAATGACTATAATCTTCAATCGTCCCTTTACAGGGGAACTGCTATGCGTCTCTGGACTCTCTGCACAGTCAAAATTTACCACAATGTAAAGCAACTATAATTTAAAGCAGGAAAACTAAGAAATAAAGCAGCAGTAAAAGAAGACACTTTTCAGTAAACGATGGTCTTTAGGAAACTCTTTCTTTCACGGGAGTAATTAATCCTCAAGGCACAACCATTAAGCAAGCATTTTAAGAAGAGTAATTGCAGCAAATTTGATGCAATTAGACTAATCTTAAATAAATTGATATCATTCTTATGGTTTAGGAAACACTTGGCTTAAATAACTTAATAGTATTATTTTTGGTTTAGGACTCACCCCAAATGGAATTAACATCAAAACTGCCAATTTCAGAAGTTCTTCAAGTTTCAGCATTATGGACAATTTCATTTGGCAACTTTGTTGATCACTAATTGTTTTGGCCCTACCACAGCTCAACCTTGAACATAACATGATAGGTGGTCCTAATACTGTGACGACTCAAAATTTCATCATCAGCAGTCAATTTGAGCGAATTCCCTGCTTTTTGCCCCAAAACTGAACATTTTTTCTTGCACTGATAAGGAAAACAACTAGGTGCCTTCAAAGACTTAATGGTGGTAGAAAGTTGGGGGAGGAAAAAAAGGTGAACATAAAAAACTAAGGCCCTGTTTGACCTTTTTTTAGAATGAAAAAGCGATCTTATTAGTAGAGCTGTCATAAAATTGTTATTAGTAAAAAGCATGTTAGGTTAGGTGTACATTTCACAATTAAAATACTTTTTAATTTGTTTGGTAACAATACCGTTTAAAGCGATTCAATTACTAATTTTACAATAATATCCTTTCATATTGAGTTACTATATTTAATAATTATAGTATTTTTTTTTATAAATAAAAGCGCTTTCAAGTGGTTGAAACGCAATCCAAAACAGGCACTAAATCGGTTTCTCACATTTGTGAGAGCTTCTATATGCCTCATTTCTGTTGAAAAGATGGAAACTTTCTTCTTATTTCTACACCAGAATGTAAAGCTACCAACTCATCTACATGTTTGGGGATATATATTTATCAAAAAAAATGTTTTGGGATATATATCATACATACCTAACTCAGAGGAGGCCATTCTTATGTAAATATCTTGCCCAACTTCAGGGACTTCCCTTATATCAATCAGGTCATCAAACCAGAGGAAGCAGCCACTTCCTCCTGCTGTTACGTCTATATTTGCATAGGCCATACAAGTACAGTTTTTCAAACACACCGTCTCACACTCCTTGAGGGTCATGCTCCTATTAAACCAGGAATACCGTGTGTCAGGCAATTTAACACCAGAATACTTGAGAAATCCATTTGATGATGCATTGTGGCAATCCAAGGGTGTTCTTCGAACACACCCACCAGACCAATCTGCTGTGTCCCAATCTTTAGGGTATCTTGGCATAAATTTATCAAGACACCCACATACTGGAGAGTTACCAATGCTGCAGCTACCATAGGCCTGACACAGCCCATAAAAATCACAGTTATCTGCTGGTGTATTCCCGTAAACTGTCCAATCCTGTGTTTTATAATTCCATGTCAACCGTTGTAAATATCCATTCTGAGTCAAAACCAACCGAAAGAAAACTGAGCTATTAATAAGATCATACTCATAATACACCTCCTGCTGATCAAAAACAAAATAGTATTTGTAGATGCTGTTTGGTTTTAAACCCACGGAGCCACTTAAGCGGATACCATTCCATGGTCCAGAACGGTATTGCTCAACTGAACCTTTTAGGAGGACATATTGTGGAAATCCACGAAGATCAAGTCCATGAGAATACTCACCTTTAGAAGGGTCATCACTGGACTTCCATGACCATATACGCCGATCAATTCTGGTTACTAGGTTCTTTCCAAACTTCATGCCTGGCAACACAGTGTCACATGGATAATCAAAACTCTGCCATAGGAAATTCTCATCATTTGTATCTTTGACAACAAGATTACCCGAATCCAAGAGCTGTGCAACTGGGTTCACTGTGTTGTTATTTGATGATGAATTTGAAGACAACCAGAAGATGCTGTTCGTACTATTGACAAGCACGAGAATTCCTCCATCAGCAAGCTTTAAGACACCTCCTCCGGATGTATCGATAAGTGGAGTATCTCTGTTGGCAACCCATACCACAGTCCCATTGGATATTCTCTTGTACCATATTCCCAAGTATCGATTCCTCGAAGTAGTACCTGAGGGACTGAAAAATCCCAGTTCAAATGTTCTATCTGCAGAGACCATGGTTTGCCCATCAGTAAGAGATTGAGTTATACTTATGGTGTCTAATTCTACTGCATCAGAGATTATTTTTAACATGGTAAAAATAGAATACAAGAAAAGATTTATGGTAAAGCCATAATTCTTTGATGATTTACTCATGTTTCACATATGGGGTGTGTGTTTCTTTGTTTTTTATTCGATATTAGTTCAGAAACCCATAAGATAGTTCTTGGGTTGGCCGATGGCAAACAAGAGAAGAGCAAAATCAGAAAGTCCTCAAAGTCTTCCTTTCCTACTTTTTTAAGCTACTAAAATTTAAATATATAAATGTGCAGTTAATTTTTTTTTTTTTTTTTTAACCAAAGTGCAGTTAATTTAGTCATGTAAATTTGGTCAGTTCAATAGTCAACCTAGTATTTCAGTATTAATAGTTAGGGTCAAAGCCAGCCAGCCGGATCTAGGCCTCCTTTTGTGACTCATAACTGACCTTTCAATTGGTGGTCCCGCACCCATTTGATTAATTACCACTCCACTAGTTATATAAGATTGAGATTAACATCTCTTACCGGAAATTTGACTCCATCGAGATCCTTCCATAGTTTTTTAGTCCATAGTTTTATAGTTCATAGATTCATTTGGAGTTCCAAAAATACCTAAACTGAAATTCATTATATTCTTGAATTTGAGTTTCCAAAAAACCAATCCCAACCAATTTAACCAAATCAATTCATTACTTATACAAATATTATATAATATATATATTTGACACAAATTGATTGAAGTATACACTTTGTTAAGTATTATTTACAAGTTATTTATTTATTTTTGTGTTTATTCTGTTCCTTTGAACTGAACTTGTATTAATTACACCTCTTGATGCATTACTAATGAAGGTATACAATTCATTTTCTTTATTTTACACAATCTTTTGTCTAAATGGAGAATAGCTACTTTGAAAAGAAAAAAAAAAACTATTGGACAGTTTAGAAAAGTCCAAATAGTAAAACCAAACCGATCCAAACTTGTTAATTTACGTATTATATATCGATTCGAGGTTAAAAGTCCTCATTGGTTCGGATTAGTTACAATTTTTATGAAACCGTTGGAATTGGATTAGTTTTGGTTTTATGTCTAACCCGAACCAATTCGATCAGTATACAACCCTAAAGGTGAGAGTTCAAGTTCGCATAAAAACAAACATATGTATGAATTTCTTGTCATGAAAATATATATACATGTATATATTACACATGAAGGTCGGAGGGCATCATAAGCACGGCACCGGATTGACAGTTTGGAGGATTTTTTCCATAATTATGAGTGTGATAAATCCTATTCAGATGGCATCAGCCACAAATTGAGCATTGCAGGCAATTCAAACTTTGGTTAATCCTTTCCACAGAGTGCTTTGGTGTAACAAAATCCAAGGTCAAGAATGTCCACATAAACACTACGACATGCAATGAATTTATCACTTACCAAATAAATAAAAAAACCATCTATCAACTGTTCATTTCCCTCGACTTGGGTTAGGAGTATCTTGGCCTTTTTTTTTTTTTTTTGGTTAAAGGAGTATCTTGGCCTTCTGCAACTAATTCTTTGAAATACTGTGGAGGGAAAACTCCCCTCCAATGAGACCCTGACACCTATGCAATAAGAGAAGACACGTGTCCGAACCAAGCCATGGGCCAAGACCCAGAGAAATAGGCCTGGAACTTGAGACTGGACCAAACTAGGTACATAAGCCCAAGCTGGGTTCAAAACCCTTTGACCCAAACCTCTTCAGAGGCCCAATCCTATCCGAAGACGCAAGAAACGGGCTGGAGCTTGTTCCCCAATAAACGGGACCCCTTAGGGCATCACAGGTATAAAAGAGGAAGGGAGAAGAAGAGTCAGCAATGGAAAGATGCATCTAGTAAGGCTGCTGACATTCATTTATTATCATTTCTTTTCTGTCAATATTTTATAGAAACAAAATGTAAGAAATTTTATATACAAGGCAAGAATAGGATAATAAGAAGCAATAGGATGAGCAGTATGCAATGGAATTAGCAAGATGCACAAAGAACAACAATGGTGCTATATGTAAAATTTCTTATCAGTTCCCGGCGAGCTTGTTGCCGGTCGCAAGGTTTGTGGCCAAGTTGAACCAGAATCCTATCAGTTTCCGGCCGGCGAGCTTGTCACCGGTTGCAAATTTTGTCACCAAGTTGAGTCTGCCCTCCGCTCCCTGGATAAAACAGTTGGTGGCTGTCGTGACGCTTTGATTAGGCCGACTACTATACTATAGGCTACTTCTAGCTTCTATAGTGGCCCTTCCTCTTTGTTAAGTAGTTAAGGTTTGGAACCCTTGCAACTATGAGAAGAAAGCCGTTTGCTTGTTGCCCTCCTACTTTCTTTTTTTGAATCAAAGTAGGTCGCGACTGTTGTATTTTAGTCGTTTGGGGGAAGCAAAGCTTCTACGACTGTCTATGTGAGCTATTTAGGGTTAACAGAACACCAATTACCCTTTCCCACAAATTTGAGACCAACAAACCCCAAATTCGAATCTGCTAAAGACTCTAATTGGGTTTGTAAAAGGGCAAGCTATCTAGGGTTTCCAAGCCAGGGGATAATATAAAGTCTTTATTTAGGGTTTCCAAGCCAAGGAATAATATAAAGTCTTTCTTTTGACAAATATTGGCGACCTTTCTAGACATTATAATCATTATAAGAATGAAAAGGAAATGCATTATTAGCAGATTTCTAGATATTATAATCATTATAAGGAAATGCATTATCACACTCCGATACTGTAGCTACAAATTCATAGTGGTCAAAGATACCAGGTTGTTAGGGCATCTCCAATGGACTCTCTGAATTCAAACTCTCCGAATTTGTCACATCAACATTTTTTCATAGTCACCTTAGCATTTTAGAATTTCCAAAATTTAGCTATTGGATGTACTCTGCATTTTCGCTTTCAAAAAATATTAATATTTTAATATTATTTAAATTTTTAATAAATTTTATTTTTAACTTTTTTCTAACAACTATATTTTTAAAACGGCTATATCATAAAAAAAAAAATTTAACAATAGAATATTTATTATTAAAAACGATACGATACGAAACAATACAACAAAAATAAAAAACAATACAATACGACTTGAATTTAAAACATAAAACAACTAGAAAAACAGAACAATCATATGGAATGCTTGAAATAATCCTATGGAAAGCTTGAGTTGCCACGTGCGCGTATAGATGCCAATATTTCATTTTGGCGTTCAATTAGCCATGCTTTCCCGGCTTGTGTTGGCATCGATTCTGGATCTTTTTGAATGATTAACATCTCTTCAACTCTTTATTTATTTTCAATCTCTCTTAGTTTGCTTTGAAGCTCGAGTTGTCTGGTTTTTTCTTTATCTGCTTTGCATGCCTCTCGTGCTATTTAAGCGGCCTCAAGGGTTTTAGATTGTATTTGATAAAGGGCCGTTGCATGATCAAATTTGCTAATGAAATCATTCTGACTTTCAGATTGTCTTTTATCCTTATTTCGCCTCTGCTTCGCTACTTTTCGTCCTTCTGGTTGCTGACATTCTTCAACATCCGTCGGATTATTTTCGCCTGTGTGCGCCGATCCTTCAACCGAACTTGGTGTTGTTGCTGCATTACTTGATGGAGTAGATGGGTGTGAGTGACCAATAGGCTCACTATCATCAATGTGGATTCCACTCCTCTTCTTCGGCTGTTTTTTTTTTTTTTTTTGGATATCAATTCTTTTTGACAATGTAAATGCCACTTATTGTTGCTCTTCAAAATGTTCCAACAACTGTCAAACTTAAATTTGATGTTATTTTGACGAGCAAACAACTCTTTCATTGCTAGCATCTAAAAAATAAAAATCAATAATTATTAGAAGACAAATCTTTAAAATATCTACCAATTAAATTTAATATAATAAATAACTTACCTTGTACTCATTGTCTTGCCCACTAGGGTAATTCCTTTCGATCTGGGTCATGCATCCAGAAAATTTGGTAATCATTTGTTGAATGATGGACCAACGATTCAAGCAGGCGATATGATTTCTTTTAGGTGTACCAGCACCACTAATGTGTTGCTCAAAACTTTCTTGAATTCGGATCCATAACGCTGCCTTTTGTTGGTCTAAACCGATGACCGCATCAGCGCTAATGGCCATCCACGCATAACATAAAGCCTCATCTTCAACTGTGGACCAATTAGGAGGCCGAATAGCCCTTTGCTTTCTGGGAGGTTGGGAATAACTGGATTGTGACACTTCAGTAGGAATGCTGGAAACTTGAGAAGGTTGATGAGATGGAAATTGATATTCATCTCCAACAAATTGAGATTCTTCGCCAACAAATAAGAAGGGAACAAAATTATCATTTGATTGGTTGAATTGGGAATTGTAGTTGTAATATGGTGGTGAAGGATCCATGGAATTAAACTTGAGTAAAAAATATAACTAAAAGATTGAGAAAATGACTTAGTGGTTGTAGTTGTAGGTTGAAAACTAGAGAAAATGGGTTGGATATGAGGTGAATAATAGTAGGGGTTGATGTATTTATAGGGGAAAAATGAAAGGTTTTTTTTTTTTTTATTTTTTTAAATAAATAAATAAATAAATAAATAAATAAATATATATATATATAATGAATTTTTTTCAAAAAAAAAATTCAAAAAATAGGTTTTTGTGCTAAAATAGCCATTAAGGCACTGTTTGGGTCAGCCAAACAGTGCCTAAAACGGCCATATGTCAGTAGGAATATTTTAAAAAGTAATTTTTTTTTTTTTTAGAAAAACACTTTTATCTATTTTTTTTTTAACTTTTTTTTGCCCAAAAAAGGCTTTAAGGCACTGTTTGTGTCAGCCAAACAGTGCCTTAACGGCTCTTTGGTTCAGCTATTTTGAGGAGAAAAAGAAAAACATACCAAAATCAGCCAAAAAAACTAATTTTTTTTCCTTTTTTTTTTTTTTTTTTTTTTTTTTTCCAGCCAAACAGGCCTTCCCAAACAGTGTTCTGGCCAGAATTAAAAAAGAAAAAGAAACCTGTTGTGGCCCACATGTTAGGCCCGTAATTCGCCAAACCAATCTTGGTTTTTAGCTACTTGGATCAAGATTGTTTTAATGGGGCCCATTTTTTAAAGAATCCATTGGAGCAGCTGACTCTTCAAAATTGGCCCAGAATCGCCGAAAATTGCACCATTGGACCTGCTCTTAGGTTTCCAGTGAAGTTACCAATTACAAATGAAATAAAATCAAAACAATTCAAATCAAGACATCACATAATGTGGAGAACCAAAATATTGACATGAAAGGTCTCCTAGGAAGGGGTTAAAATTGTTACAGTTAATTGATTGAGTGAACATAATTCAGGCTTGCTTGATGATGAATGTGATAACTCGAATTTTTTTTAGATTTTAATTTATAATTTTATTTTTTATTTTTTATTATTGTTATTATGATTATTACTATTTATATAAAAAGAGGGTGTAGTTGTTATTTTTATATTTATGCTTTGTCGTCAACTAACTTCAATGATCATAGGCTCAAGGAAGTGAGAAGCTAGGCGAAAGAAGAGATCCAACTAACGTGAGCATGTGGCTTAATGTTATCCACCAAGTTTGGTATAATGGTGATGGGTTATTGCGGGTCCCAAAAGAGTATTAATGGGATTTGGTTTTGTTATATATATATATATATATATTATTTGATTTTTTTTTTTTTTTTTTTTGATGACGAAGAAGGGCTTCCAGCCAAAGAGAGAATGAAGTGGAGATTGAAAAGGTGATGATGTAACTCGCGGGTCTCACTTGATGATATTTGATGGGTTAAATTTGAGTGTTGCATTTGTATATTATATTTGTTTGTATGTATATATATATATTTATGTGGTCAGATGGTGAAAGGTGGCTACCGAGAATGGGGAAGAGAAAAAAAAAAAAAAAAAAATTGTAATGATGAGTGGTGGGACCCGATGGAAGATTTTTTGACCAAAATTTCTTTTGTTTTGGTTCTTCACGCGGGTTCTGATAGAGTAAGAAAAGAGAGAGCAAGTCAGTTTAATGGAAAAGGAGAGAGAAAAAGTTGATTTGGTGGCGGGTCTCATTGATTGATTTTTTGGGCAACTTTTTTTGGCTTTGATTTTTCTTCACGTGGGCTGCTGATGTTGCTTATTGAATTTGATGAAATGATGTCAATGGAGGCGTATGGTGTACACTAATATGATATTTGTTGAGTGTCAGTGGATTATTGCCTATATAATTATGGTGTCTGCATTGTGACCTTGTGAGCATGGAGAGAGAGAGAGAGAGAGCCGAGTTTGCAGAGATGTCGAAAGCTTGCAGTGGAGGCCGGAAGTTTGATGCTCTGATGATCCGGTGAGGAAATAATTCTTTTTCAGTGTAGGGTTCTTTATCCTTTGAATGGCTTGGAGTGGTTTTGCTTCAATGGTTTTGATTAAATGTTTTAATTAAATGCATATGTATTTTGTTTATATACTCATATGACTATGCATATTTTGTGAAGCTGTTTTATTAAACCTCTATGAAATTCTTGTTATGGTTTTTCCTAACGGGACTTTTTGTCTCATCACCCTCTAGTTTCAGGTACCGAAGATGTACGGGGATTGGGGATTGCTAGATTTGGGCTTAGGCTAAAGAGTTGGCGTTCCAAGATTTATTTTATTTATTTGGAGAATTTTTATGTATATTTGAGGAAATTGATTTTGTAAAAAGAGGGCATTTTTTTTTTTGTTCCTGGGTGTATTTTGATGTATTTTGATTAGAATAAATTGAGGAATTTATTAGAATTTTCGGGTCATGACAAAAATGGTATTAGAGCATTTTATTAGAAAATTCAGGGCATGACAAAATAGTATCAGAGCTGTACCCAGCCGGAAGTGTGAGTGTAATGATGATGTAGACGGGTGTGAGTGGGCAAGTGTGTGGTACTGGTCAACTACCACTCGTAGCCAGGTGTGTGTGGGCGGATGGCATTCACTGGCAGATACTGGGATGGTTGGTTGGTGTGGTTGGGCAGGTAGCCTAGGTTTGTTATTGTTTGTTTTTAGTGGGCGGGTAACGCATCGATTAGCTACCACAACGGTTACGGAGTGTGTGGATGGGTGACTAGCACTGGCAGCGACAACAACGTCCTACATATCACGGTATCTCACACCGCCTAGGGTAAGGATTTATGGATTTGGTTTTGGTGGTTATTGGTGTTCTCGGGTATGCAATGACTATTGGATCTGAATTTTGGGAACAAAATTCTTTTTAAGTGGTGGAGATTGTAATAACTCGAATTTTTTTTAGATTTTAATTTATAATTTTATTTTCTTATTATTATTGTTATTATTATTATTATTATTTTTATTTTTTTTAAAAAAAAAGGGTGTAGTCGTTGTTATTTTTATATTTATGCTTTGTGGTCAAGAGAAAGGAACGTGAGCAGGTGGCTTAATGTTGTCCACCAAGTTTGGTATAATGGTGATGGGTTATTGCGGGTCCCAAAAGAGTATTAATGGGATATGGTTTTGGTATATATATATATATATACACACACACACATTATTTGTTTTTTTTTTTTAATGAAGAAGGGCTTTCAGCCGAATAGAGAATGAAGTGGAGATTGAAAAGGTGATGATGTAACTTGCGGGTCCTACTTGATGGTATTTGATGGGTTAAATTTGAGTGTTGCATTTGTATATTATATTTGTATGTATGTGTATATATATATATATATATATATATATATATATATATATTTATATGAATAGCTTCAGTTGGAGTAATGGGTTTGATTTTATTGTATTTATATATATTATATTATATTATATTATGTGATCAGATGGTGAAAGGTTGCTGTCGAGAATGGGGAAAAGAAAAAAAAAAAATTGTAATGATGGGTGGTGGGACCCGATGGAAGATTTTTTGGCCAAAATTTCTTTTGTTTTGGTTCCTTCACATGGGTTCTGATAAAGAAAGAAATTAGAGAGCAAGTCAGTTTAATGGAAAATGAGAGAGAAAAAGTTGATTTGGTGGCGGGTCTTGCTGATTGATTTTTTGGGCAACTTTTCTTGGCTTTAATTTTTCTTCACGTGGGCTGCTGATGTTAGGCTGATGTTGCTTATTGAATCTAATGAAATGATGTCGATGGAGGCGCGTGGTGTACACTAACGTGATATTTGTTGAGTGTCGGTGGATTATTGCCTATATAATTATGGTGTCAGCATTGTGACCTTGTGAGCATGGAGAGAGAAAGAGAGAGAGAGAGAGCCGAGTTTGCAGAGATGCCGAGAACTTGCAGAGGAGGTCGGAAGTTTGATGCTCCGATGGTCTAGTGAGGAAATAATTCTTTTTCAGTGTAGGGTTCTCTATACCTTGAATGGCTTGGAGTGGTTTTGATTCAATGGCTTTGATTAAATATTTTAATTAAATGTATATGTATTTTGTTTATATACTCACATGACTATATATATTTTGTGAAGCTGTTTTATTAAACCTCTATGAAATTCTTGTTATGGTTTTTCCTATTGGGACTTTTTGTCTCACCACCCTTCAGTTTCAAGTACCGAAGATGTACAGGGAATGGGGATTGCTAGATTTGGGCTTAGGCTGAAGAGTTGGCGTTGCAAGATTTATTTTATTTATTTGGAGAATTTTTATGTATATTTGAGAAAATTGATTTTGTATAAAGAGGGCATTTTTTTTTTTTTTTTTATTTTGTTCCTAGGTGTATTTTTATTTAAATAAATTGAGGAATTTATTAGAATTTTCGGGTCATGACAATGAATCTGCTAAAGGAAACTTTCTTCCAGTGTAAAATCCAGGCTCTTTCAGTTGAGGCAATGCAATCTCACTACCCAACATTAGCACCACAGATGACATGCTGGGTCTGTCCTCTGGACTTTGTTACACGCATAACAGACCGATGTGGATTGATTTAAATGCTTCAATAAAATTACACGAGTGCACTATCGATGCATCAATCAATTCCAGAGGCTTGCCTTCTTTATAAAGTCTCCATGCCTAGACAATTGCCACTCATTTTGTCAGTAATTATTGAATCAATGCACTGAAATATCTACTAACACTTAATGTCCCAGGAGGTCGAGGCTGTGGTTTGGATGAGAAAATCCTCTGATTTTGCTCCCACTAACTATCTAAAGCACCAATTGTTGGAAATGGCATTAGAAAACGTAAACTTTGGAAGGATTTTTAAAAGATTCCGCTAAGAATTTTTTGTGAATCTATTGATGAGCGCGTTCCTCTCTGCGAGGAGATGAACGTGGTATATTTATTTTCTCAAATCCGTTTCTGGGTGAATGAGAAATTGGCTCCAAAGTAAGTGATTTATAAAGCCTAAATGGGTGTGAATAAAGTGGGAAATGCTTGTCCCACATCAAAAAAGTAGCAAAGCAACCTTGAGTATATA